AACAAGCTATTTAAGAGTTACTTTGTAATATGATTTCGCATCCAAATGGTGACACTTTTGAAAGTGAAATGAAGCATTAGGTATATTTTTAAAACTTTATTTACTGAGAATTTATTATATTGGTTGATCTATAAATTATTTCTATTCAAAAACTAATTGGAGAAATATTTGTAAGAAATTATAATATCTTTTAACAGGGACAAATGTGAACTAAAATAAGATTTTGAAAAAAAATAGTAAAAAAAAATGGACTGTCCTACAGAAACTTAATTTTAGTAACATATTCTTATGCAATTAAAAGTAACTCTAGGTCTGCCTTTACTTTAGTACAGAAAGGAGTTTAAAAAGGTAAGGATATTTGCAAATACTCTCTATTCCCAAAGTTAATTCCACAGTTTCATAGTAGACAGTCAGTAACTGCTGTTGCTATTCTTTTGTTGTTGTTGTTGTTCAATTAAGGAAAAGTTTACAAAATATATATGTCAGAGCAAACAATACACTGAGTTGCTTTATTTATAGCAATCATGTGGGATGTATTTTAATCAAAGTAAGGGTTGAAATAGTGTTGTCCATCATAAGGTAATCAGCTTATAAAAAATACAACTGTTTTTATGCGCAGTGGAAAAGATATGGGATGGGTGGGACAATACAATCCCATCTGCTTCTCAGCCTCATATTTGGTGTATCGAATTGAGTATCTTTACATCACAAGAAACAAACACTGAAGATTTAAGAGAGAATCTGGTTGCAAGAGAGTATGTTTTGTTTTGTTAAATATATAGCTAAATACTGTGTGCCACAGTTTTTTAATAACAAAATTGTCATTCATTTGCTAGTTTTTTTTAAACTGTAAAAGCCCCCAGTAAGGTGGAATATGTTACTGAGACTGAAATAAGAAATTACATTGAACATCATTCAAAGCATGCTAACAACAATAAATTAAGGTAACATTAGTTTCTCATTTACTTGGTACCAGACTATGCAAACAAACCTATATATGTTCATTATCCCATTTAATTTGCACAACAGAAGAATACAAGCATGTGAAAAAAATCCCACAGACAGTAACAGGTAGACTAATAACCAACCAACCAACCACATATATAAATAAAATCACTCAAAACAAAAGCATACCAGAATGAAGTTTAGACTGTCCTGTTAATCAATATCTTACATTGATAGACTATGGAGTAGCCCAACCTATTGAGCCTCAATGGTCTCACCAAACATGAAGTAATTATAACCACATTCGAGGGCACTCCTGCAAAATAATGGGATCCCTACTGCAAAACACTTGCTGTCATTCTGGGCACNTGAAACAGTGTTGTCCATCATAAGGTAACCTGCTTATAAAAAATGCAGTTGTTTTTATGTGAAGCGGTAGGACAGAAAAGATATGGGATGGGTGGGACAATACAATCCCATCAGCTCATCAGCCTCATATTTGGTGTGTTGAATTAAGTAAGTATCTTTACATCACAAGAAACAAACACTGAAGACTTAAGACAGAATCTGGTTACAAGAGAGTATGTTTTGCTTTGTTAAATATATAGTTAAACACTGTGTGTCCCAGTTTTTTAATATACAAAATTGTCATTCAGTTGCTAGTTGTATTTAAACTGTAAAAGCCCCCAGTAAGGTTGCTAGTTGTATTTAAAATTCAGTTGCTAGTTGTATTTAAACTGTAAAAGCCCCCAGTAAGGTGGAATGTGTTACTGAGATTGAAATAAGAAATTACATTAAACATCATTCAAAGCATACTAATAACAATAAACTAAGGTAACATCAGTTTCTCATTTACTTGGTACCAGACTCTATGCAAACAAACCTATATATGTTTGTTATCTCATTTAATTTGCACAACAGGAGAATACAAGTATGGGGAAAAAATCCCACAGACAATAACAGGTAGACTAATATCCAACCAACCAACCAAACATGTAAAGAAAATCATGCAAAACAAAAGCATAGCTCAATGAAGTTTAGACTGTCCTATTAATCAATATCTTACACTGATAGACTCTGGAGTAACTTTACCTCATTGATCCCCAAGGGTCTCATCAACATGAAGTAATTATATCCACATTCAAGGGCACTCCTGCAAAATAATGGGATCCCTACTGCAAAACACTTGCTGTCATTCTGGGCACATATTACTTGCCAAATAAATATTAGCACTCTCTCCTACTCATTTCTCTATTCAAGTAAATCAAAGTAATCAACTTTAGCTAATAAAAACTGTAAGTAATAACATTATAAAAAAATCAAAACAGTCTTTAAAGAAGTAAAAGAGAAGAGGCATAAGCTGGAAAGTGAAGGGTCAGAAAAGCTGCCAGACAAAATAGAAGAGGAGTCTGAATAGCTAGAAGTCAGAGTGACAGGAGAGAACTGTCGCATCTGGCAGAAGAAATCAAATGTGATGAAGTAAAGAGGATTTTCAGTTTCAGACTGCCACTTCAATGGAACAGTGCTGAGGTGTAGGCCTGTTTCTGGGCAAGTGAATATGAATGGTGTGACAGAAATTAGTAACTCCAGTGTACAGTATTTCCAACAGAAATACTAAAATTCCCAAGAATGATTAATGACAAGGTATGGGCTGGAGAGGACACTTAAGGAAGCTCTGAGAAAGGTAGCTGGAGGTCTCTCTGGCTCATCAACTTCCTCAAACCTGCTCTCTTTCATCCTTATAATCACACATACACACAAACATGTGCTTCGGTGTATACACACACACACACACACACACACACACATAAATGCATGTATATTCACCCAATACCATATGTCAGTATAATTTATATATGTATAATAATATTCACTTTACATATTCTATATACAACAGTAATGAATAAATTGGTAGTTCTTTTAAACCATTTTCAAAACCTTAACTTTTTTCTGGTGTGTTTTTCTGAATTTGTCTAAATATTGCTAGAAAATCAATTAAGTTCTGAAAAATTTAATGGCTTGTCAAGCAAAATAAACTGATTCTACATAAAACATTTAACATCCTAGAATCTAAGGGAAAAAAACAATTTATTAATTACCTATTGTTCTGTTTCCATTTTTCCCATTAAATGTTGAACACAAAAGAGTAAATGGCTTCTGGCAATCTCACCCGGGTGACCGACTTCATTCTCTTGGGTGTCTCGGAACGTCCAGAGCTCCAGATTCCCCTCTTCCTGGTCTTCCTGGGGATCTATGGACTGACTGTGACAGGAAACCTGTGCATCATCACCCTCACCAGTGTTGACTCCCAACTTCAAACCCCCATGTACTTTTTCCTCCATCACATGGCTGTCATCAATCTTGGCAATTCTACCACCATTGCCCCTAAAATGCTGGTTAACTTCTTGGTTACGAAGAAAACCATATCTTACTATGGTTGTGCAGCCCAGCTGGGTGGATTCTTAGTTTTCACTGTGGCTGAGATTTTCATGCTGTCAGCAATGGCCTATGACCGCTATGTGGCTATTTGCAGCCCCCTGCTGTACATGGTGCTGGTGTCTCCGCAGATCTGCCGTCTGCTGGTTTTCCTCACATACCTCCAAAGTCTGACCACAGCAGTGACTGTCACTTCCTGTGTGTTCTCCTTGTCATTCTGCTCTTCCAACATAATCAACCATTTCTACTGTGATGACGTTCCTTTGTTAGCCTTGTCCTGTTCTGATACCTACCTTCCGGAAATAGCAGTATTTACCTTTTCAGGTACCAATTTATTTTTCTCCATGATTGTTGTTCTCGTATCTTACTTCAACATTGTCCTTGCCATTCTGAGGACACGTTCCTCACAGGGACGACAAAAAGCCTTTTCCACCTGCACTTCTCACTTAATGGCTGTCACTGTGTTCTATGGGACNAAAAGCATAGCTCAATGAAGTTTAGACTGTCCTATTAATCAATATCTTACACTGATAGACTCTGGAGTAACTTTAACTCATTGATCCCCAAGGGTCTCATCAACATGAAGTAATTATATCCACATTCAAGGGCACTCCTGCAAAATAATGGGATCCCTACTGCAAAACACTTGCTGTCATTCTGGGCACATATTACTTGCCAAATAAATATTAGCACTCTCTCCTACTCATTTCTCTATTCAAGTAAATCAAAGTAATCAACTTTAGCTAATAAAAACTGTAAGTAATAACATTATAAAAAAATCAAAACAGTCTTTAAAGAAGTAAAAGAGAAGAGCCATAAGCTGGAAAGTGAAGGGTCAGAAAAACTGCCAGACAAAATAGTAGAGGAGTCTGAATAGCTAGAAGTCAGAGTGACAGGAGAGAACTGTCGCATCTGGCAGAAGAAATCAAATGTGATGAAGTAAAGAGGATTTTCAGTTTCAGACTGCCACTTCAATGGAACAGTGCTGAGGGGTAGGCCCGTTTCTGGGCAGCTGAAGCTGAATGGTGTGACAGAAATTAGTCACTCCAGCATACAGTATTTCCAACAGAAATACTAAAATTCCCAAGAATGATTAATGACAAGGTATGGGCTGGAGAGGACACTTAAGGAAACTCTGAGAAAGGTAGCTGGAGGTCCCTCTGGCTCATCAACTTCCTAAAACCTGCTCTCTTTCATCCTTTTAATCACACATACACACAAACATGTGCTTCGGTGTATATACACACACACACACACACACACACACACATAAATGCATGTATATTCACCCAATACCATATGTAAGTATAATTTATATATATATATATATATATATATTCACTTTACATACTCTATATACAACAGTAATGAATTAATTGGTAGTTCTTTTGAACCATTTTCAAAACCTTAACTTTTTTCTGGTAAGCATTTCTGAATTTGTCAAAATATTACAAGAAAATTAATTAAGTTCTGTAAAATTTAATGGGTTGTCAACCAAAATAATCTGATTTTAAAGAAAACATTTAATGATCTAGCATCTAAGAGAAAAAAAAAAAACAATTTCTTACCTATTAATCTCTTTCCATTTTTCCCATTAAGAGATGAACTCAAGAGAGTAAATGGCTTCTGGCAATCTCACCAGGGTGACCGACTTCATTCTCATGGGTGTCTCAGACCGTCCAGAGCTCCAGATTCCCCTCTTCCTGGTCTTCCTGGGGATCTATGGAGAGACTGTGACAGGAAACCTGTGCATCATCACCCTCACCAGTGTTGACCCCCAACTTCAAACCCCCATGTACTTTTTTCTCCGTCACTTGGCTGTCATCAATCTTGGCAATTCTACCACCATTGCCCCTACAATGCTGGTTAACTTCTTGGTTACCAAGAAAACCATATCTTACTATGGATGTGCAGCCCAGCTGGGTGTATTCATAGTTTTCACTGCGGCTGAGATTTTCATGCTGTCAGCAATGGCCTATGACCGCTATGTGGCTATTTGCAACCCTCTGCTGTACATGGTGGTGGTGTCTCCACAGATCTGCCGACTGCTGGTTTTCCTCACATACCTCCAAAGTCTGACCACAGCAGTGACTGTCACTCCTGTGTGTTCTCCTTGTCATTCTGCTCTTCCAACATAATCAACCATTTCTACTGTGATGACGTTCCTTTGTTAGCCTTGTCCTGTTCTGATACTTACCTTCCGGAAATAGCAGTATTTACCTTTTCAGGTACCAATTTATTTTTCTCCATGATTGTTGTTCTCGTATCCTACTTCAACATTGTCCTTGCCATTCTGAGGACACGTTCCTCACAGGGACGACAAAAAGCCTTTTCCACCTGCGCTTCTCACTTAATGGCTGTCACTGTGTTTTATGGGACTCTTCTTTTCATGTATTTGCAACCAAGGACCAACCACTCTTTAGATACTGACAAAATGGCCTCGGTCTTCTACACCCTAGTAATACCAATGCTGAACCCCATGATTTACAGCCTAAGGAACAAGGATGTGAAACAGGCATTGAAGAGATTCCTAAATAACCCATTGAAATCCTTTAAACTAAAATAAATTTAAAACTAAACCTACCTTCATTTAAGAATTGTCATTCCTTGCTAAAAACACTGCTATTAAAACTGGAAATAAATGGTTAGAAAATCGATTAGTCTTGGTGGAAAAAAAATAATTTTTTTAATCAAAAACTCATATTTCCAAACAAGAAAACAACACATATAAATAATAAATAGTAATTTGAAAATAAGTGAGCACATTTTATAAGTAAAATATAAGTTACTACAGGATTTGTTTAATTTTTATTGAAGGAAGATGAATCCTGATAGCAGATGGTGGGCGTATGTGAGCATCAGTTTTTGGAAGGTTGTCAAGACACAGATCATCCTTTTTGCATGATTTTTTCAGCTATTAAATATTTTTTCTTTATTTTTGCAGTATTTTATACATCAAATCCTCAACTCTTGTGGAACCATTTTCTTTTATACTGGAAAAAACTTTGTTTCATGAGAAAAAAGACTTTTAAGGGAAAATAAAAATTAAGCAAAAAGTGCTCAATACATATGTAAATAGGATATGTGGAAAAGCAGGGTAAACAAAAAAAATAAAATAAAATTTTCCTTTTTCATCCTTCTCACTTGGTGCCTTTACAACAAAGCAAAATGTTGACATATAATTAATTTTTCATGTAATATTAAAACAGTTGCATAGAGTTAATTGTCTTTGTTCTGAAAACATAGCAACAAACACCATTTTTTTCACATTTTCTGTAGTGTGATTTTTAGTAAAATGTTATTAGACAACCCCTCTCACCACCACCACCAAATAAAGACATTGTCCTTAAAGTGTCATCAATTCTCAAGAGTCCTCCTGGTCAAATAATAATAATAATAAAAATAAAAAAATAAAAAAAACCCAGTTAATAGTTATTATGAACCATATCTCTGTACATGTTAAATTTTACTGATATATGATGGGGAAAGTAAAAGTTGAACTGACCTATGAGGTACAGTCAGTGTCTGGAAAATACTACATTTATGATATCTCCAAGGAGGTCAGAAATAACCAAAATCTATG